GGGAAAGGCTGGGCATGTGTGAGGGCAGGGGATACATAAGAAATCTCTCTGGGGGGGATGGGGTATTAAGGAGGCTGATGGGCATTAAGGAGGGCACATGAAGTGATGAGCACTGGGTGTTACATGCAACTGATGAATTACTGAACACTACATCTTGAAATTAATGATGTACTATATGTTGGCTAACTGAATTTAAATTACAAAAAAGAAATTTAAAAAAAATCTCTGCCTTCCCCTTATTTCTGCTGTGAACCTAAAACTGTTCTTTTAAAAAAAGGTAGTTTCTGGGGCACCTGGATGGCTCAGTCAGTTAAGCATCTGACTCCTGATTTCCGTTTAGGTCATGATCTCAGGGTCCTGGGATCAAGTCCCAAGATGGACTCCATGCTCAAGAGGAAGTTTGCTTGGATTCTCTCTCTCCCTCTGCCCCCACTCATTCGCTTGCACTCTCTCTCTCCCTCTCTCTCTAAAATAAATAAATCTTTAAAAAAATTTTAAAAAGGAAGTTTCTCCCCAAAGCCTCCAAGCCTCACAACCACAATACTACACTGACCCAAGAGGAGCTAATTTATAAAGGGTCACTGAGGTTAAAAAAAAAAAAAAAAAAAAAAAAGTAGGGTGCCTTGGTGGCTCAGTCAATTAAGTGGCTGCCTTCAGCTCAGGTCATGATCTCAGGGTCCTGGGATCAAGCCCCACATCGGGTTCTCTGCTCAGTCAATGGTGAGTCTGCTTCTCCCTCTCCCTCTGTGATCTCTCTAGCTTTCTCTCTCTCAAATAAATAAATAAAATCTTAAAAAAAAAAAAGGCAAAACAAATCTAGAAACGAAATCTTCATATTCTTGGGTTTGGTATTGTTTCGACTTCATTAAAAGCAGTCATTAAAACATGCGTCCTTATCATTAAGCCTACACACTACATCGAGGGGGAAAAAACTACCCCATTCATAAATAATTCCTGAGTGCCTAACAAATTCCTAAAAATTCTAAGTGTTCTGAGAACCTGGGGGCACCTGGGTTAAGCATCTGACTCTTGATTTTGGCTCAGGTCATGATCTCAAGGTCCTGGAATCGAGCCCCATGTTGGGTTCTCACTCAGCAGAGTTGGCTTGAGGATTCTCCCCCTCTGCCCCTCTTCCCGCTGGCTTCTCTCTCAAATAAATAAATAAATCTTAAAAAAAAAATTCTAAGTGCTAGAAATATAACAATAAACAAGAACAATACAATCCTTGCCTTCAAGAAATTTAAATTCTAATTGGAGGGGGTGGGGGGTGTTAAAGAGCTAATTAAATTAGATAATGCATATAAAGCACTCAAAATAGTAACTGTCATATATAAGTGTTTGATAAGTATCAGCTATTATTAGCCATAAACATTACTTTTAAGTCTTTAAGTAATCAGCCTCATATATGTTAAAAAGAAAATCTTATTTGTCCAGTTCTCCAAAAATCATGACATTCTTTAGATGGTTTCTGTACCAAATGTCCTTATTTTGATCAGGAGGCCATCTTTTAAAGAACCACCCCGTACCCAAACTATCTCTTGTAGACCTATCCAGAGGTAGATATGTCCAGTCAGACTTCTTTACACAATAATGTGAATCACTGAGAGGTAGCAAGAGATAAGAAACGCTCAGTTCATATGGCTGAGCTCCATAAGGATGCATCTCTATCAGCATTACCCCAGTTCCTGTCCTTCCCGAGGTCTGCTGTTCAGGTTGTCCTTCAATTCTATCCTTCCAATAACTCTCTTTTTTCTGTTTAAAACAGCCAGAACTTGTGGATCTTACAAAGAACCCTAAAGAACCCTATCTGATACAGTTAGGTAATGTAAGATCACCCTACAAAAAGGAGTGTTCACAAACACAACTGCCAAAAATCAAACTGAACATTATTAAAACGAGAAAATTTTACTATTTGTAAAGTATACCTCAATAAAATGGGGGGGGGAGGATAATGGGATGGGTATTTAATTTAAAAGCAGAGGGCACCTGGGTGGCCCAGTTGGTTAAGCGACTGCCTTGGGCTCAGGTCATGATCCTGGAGTCCCAGGACCAGTCCACATCGGGCTCACTGCTCAGTGGGGAGTCTCCTTCTCCCTTTGACCCTCCTCCCTCCTGTGCTCTCTCTCTCTCATTCTCTCTCTCCAATAAATAAATGAAACCTTTAAAAAAAATAAAAATAAAAAAATAAAGCATAAATAGCACATTTTTACTGGATAATATATTTTCTGGTTGTTTTCATATACACTGATTATACTATGTTCTATGGCCAAAATGTTCATATAAGAAACACTTCTTAAGTTGTCTCAGTTTAAAGTAGTCCCATTTAAAGTCAGCTGCACTGACTACAGTGATTTTAAAATAAGAGATGTTAATATCCAAAAACTGTCTTACTAGTGAAATAAAGCTCACAACATAATGATCATATCTTGCTTACAATTTTATTGACAACACCCTACAGTACTTTACTTAATTATTTGTTTTGCTTACATTTCCACTCTCTATTTAGTCTTACTTTGCAAGCAGCCTATATCACAGCAGGAAACCCCTTCAAAATGCAAACCTCTCCAGCTCCAGGAAAGACTGAAATTAGGACAGCCACACTTGCTCACGTTTTACATCACAAGAATTTAAGAACTGCCATACTTGGCCATCCCATGCCTCATTCACTACAAAATCTCTAGGACAGGGACTCCAAGGAACACATGAAAAAACATAGTTATCCTACTTGCCACCAATCGAAAAGCACATGCCAAAATATATCCATTCGCCTTAATAAATCCATATTGGATCTCTTACCATTAGTACACCGTAATCACTTTTGAAACATTTTATATTTTAAGGTTAGTAAAAGGTATTAAAATAGAAGGACAAATAATGAAAAAAGTAGACTAAACATCTAAACTGCACATGTGTGGGTTATATAACAAGCTCTACATGTATTTCCCACTACTGCCTTATTTGCAAATAAAGGATTCATTTCAATTTTAAACATTACAAAACTCAAAGTTTTGCTCTGGTACCTTTCAGATTTAGCCACTTGATAACAGATACCCTTTTATCTAGCAACTTCCAGTATTAAACTCAAAATTGTTACTTTCTTCTCCAGTAAAACTTAAGCCATCTGACCCCTGATCTCCCAAGAATCTAATCAACTTTATACTGGGGCTTTTAGAACTAATTCCCAAAGTATCCTATTATAGCCAGCATAGGTAGGCACCCTACATAGCCAGCGAGCATATAAATCAAATTTAAACCACTTCAATTCCACTTAAATTCAATACTGAGTGTCTCCCAATAGTATCTCAAGCAAACAGAGCTGATCTGGTTCAACTTAATGTTTCCATTCTCATTGCTTCTTTCTCTAGTTTAGCAAAACAACAGAAGTAATTCAAGTTTCAACACAGTATCCATGTAGAAGACCAAAAATAAAATACATCCAAATGAAAACCTTGTTTTGCAACATTAATATTCCAGCTTCCCAGCTTCTCTTCTTCAATTTAAGTTTTAATTACCACATGAGTTCCCTTTCCTACAACAAGACCCAAAATATTTACAAGAGGAAAAAGAGAAAAGCCCAACGTTCACCTACCCAACATTTGGCAATCCAACAATACCAATTTTCAAGGAGGTTCCAAATCTTCCAATGATTGGGGGTGGTTTAATTCCATCACCTCCCTTTTTGGGGGGCATCTGAAATGTCAAAACAAACATACATATAAACAAAATTTTTTTATACTCCCCATTAACCAAAAGCACATTTCATCACACAAAATACACTACTGGGTAACAAATTAAGAATAAAACATACTGTATATACCAATCCAAAACCAACACGGAGCTAAATCCACTTTTTCAACAAAAATGTAAAAAGTTCTAGAAGTAGATCTGATTCTGATAGCTGTCAAGGCAGTCACTCCTAAGAAGTCCTGGAAAGATTAATCTAAAAATATGTGGCACCATAAATCAAAAATAAACTTAAACAAAAATAAACTTAAAATTTAGCTGCCAATCTTCCATCCATACTGTTCACAAAACACTTTCTTTCTTAATCTGATACATGGTTACGAGAATGAAAGCATTCAGAAGCAGGAGCACAGATAAGACAGTCAAAGAGAATCCATTCTAGTACTACCAGCAACCAACTCACCTCCCCCCAAACCATTCCTCTTACCTGGAACCTTCCCATTTTCCCCACAAGCACCATTTTCACACGGATGAACACACACACCAGTATCAGGGTCTTTCCGACCAAGTCTCCTCCACCTTTGGCACCGTAAGTACGACTCCACGGTCCAGAATCTACCTCCAGTTCCTTCTAGTTGTAAATGAATCCACTAACTCTTTTTATTTACAAATTGAAACTTTCCAGGTCCCTGCTTATCTGGCTCCAAGTTCCTCCTTGCAGAATCAATACCACTTTACTACTGCAAGCTGAACTCACGAGGGCTGCTAACCTGATATAAGCTGGGAACTAAAACTGTCCCTGTCTTCTGGCGCCTGCTGAGCCTCCAGCGGCCACGCTGAGGCCCTGCTCATGAAGTGATAGTCCAGCGTCTTGATCCCTGACCCCTAGGACCAGGGATCTCCCTTCTCGGGGTCTTAACTCACACCTGTTCCCAGCCAAAGCCCAGGCCGCCGAAGCACAAGCCGAGCCTCTCCTGTCCCCTGGCCTCCTACCGTGGGGCGGCCGGCAGCCCTGCCAAAGCGGGCCTCCACCCAACATCTCACTCGGTGGATTGGGCCACTGGTCGTCCCGGCCTCTGCAGAAGGCTTCCCCCAGAGCGTGCCGGGGTGAGGCGTGGGCCGCTCTCAGAACGCGCGGCCTAGTCCAAGAGCGCCTCATTCATCCACACACCCCTCGCCGCCCCCTGCCCTCGCCCATCCCGGCCACCCGGCCTTGGCCTCACACCCGCCTCAGGGCCACCGGCTGGGGCGCCGAAGACTAGGCGGGGAGCGCGCCCGCGGGCTCCCGGAGGGACTCACCGTGCTCGGGGAGGGCGATGACACGGGGTCCCAGCGGCAGCGGGAGACAGATCCTGCCGGCAACGGGAGGCGGGGAGGAAGGAGGAGAAAGCACAGGCCCGGCCCCTCCGCCGAGCAGCACGCACGACGGCGGCGGCGGTGGTGGTGGCGGCGGCGGAACGGGCGGGCCGGGCGCCGGGCGGCACCTGCGCGCAGACCGCGCGCCCCGCCCCGCCCCTCGCTCCCGCCCGCCCCGTCCATTGGTCCGACCAGCCAGGAGGCGGGAGCAGGGTGGGAGGAGTCACGCGGCGCCGGGGCGGGCGGGAGGGGGTGCCTGAGCCAGAGCCAGTCTGACTGCCTCCTCAACTTACACACACACGTACCCCCCCTCCCCCACGCTAGCACCGGGAGCTCCCGTCTTCCGCCCTCTCCGCACGTGGAGCGTCTCCGCTTCCCTCCTGGAGCGCGCCCCGCGTTGCCGCACGCGCTCTCTCGTTGGCCTGCAGCCCCACAGATCACCCGCGGGATCTCGAAGCACCCTCGGCCTAACACCCCCCGCACCCTCCCCCCCCCCGCCCCGGAGACGGATCTCCTGAGGTCTGGCGAACAGCCACGCCAATCCTGCGGACCTCCTGGCTGCAAACCGGGCCCTCGGGGACAACGGCCCCAGCCCGCCGTCCTTTCCCTGTAACTTTCTTCAGCCAATCCAAAAGCTGTTAAATAAACTTTCTTAAAGGAAAAAAAGGCGGGGCGGGGAGGGGGAGCGGCAAGGGAAGCTTATGATCTAAGGATTCCTTCATCACTTTGTGGTTCAGGGGTTTTACCGGCACTGGATCCCATAACACGTTTAATAGAGCCAGCTTCCCCGCTTTTCCTCTGGATGGTTATGAGCAAGGGCCTTTGGAATTTGGGAAACAGGTTCCCATCTGGATTCCACTCTTGTGATCCTGGATAAAGTACCTCTCTGGGCTTCAATTTCCTTTTAGATAGAAGTGAGACTATTGAGATCCATGTGTAAAGCTTGCAGCAACAGTACCTGGCACAACAGGAAAGGTTCATAAATAGTAATAAAGGGTAGTGTTAATATTAAAAGATTTCATCCCATCCCGCCCACACCTACCTGTACCATGAGCTCCATCTATAAAAGGAATTCTTTCCATAAACTTTCAAGCATGTGTTGCAAGAATGTAATACTTTCCCAAAAATTGTGACCCTAGATGCTTCTTTCAAGAAGTCTAGTTCATGGGGCACCTGGCTGGCTCAGTTGGTAGAGCATGTGACTCTTGATCTCGGGGTTGTGAGTTGGATTCCCATATTGGGTGTAGAGATTACTAAAAAATAAATAAAACAAAGAGGCTAGTTCATAATAAAGAAAAAATATGAATTGGTTGCTATCCCCATTTTATAGATGAGGGAACAAAATCTATAAAGGGAAAGGTAATGTGATTTGGATATGTCACACAACTAGTAAATGGCAGAAACCAGATTTCAGACCCCAATCTAACTGAAAAATCCGTTCCCTTTCAGTAAAATTTTTTCTAATAACTCCTTATAAGCAACAACTGAGCCATTATTTATAATAAAATTACATTAAGGTTTATCTTAGCCCTATGAGAATGACCTACTGAGGCAGGTTAAAAAGCTTTTTCTGTAAATTTGGAATTCTCAAAGGCACAGTCAACTTGATTTTATTTGTTTAATATCATTCATCAACATGCACTATTTATATTCTTTCAATCTAACTCCCCTGTTACCAGAACAATGCACTCTTATAAAAGAGTCATCTGGGTACACTCTAGCTATGAAACAGAAGTAAGCTAACTAGGCCATATTTTGTACCCACCATCAATATAAACTTATGACTAGTCCTGACAGAGTAATTCCTAAATCGTTTACTGCTGTTTTAGTAGTGAGGTTCTATAGTTGCTTTTCACACTGCTGCTTGTGGAAACAGAGAGGAACCATTACTTAGAAAGCTGAAGAATCCCAGAGAGCCTACTTTGCCCAGCAACCAGCCACTCCAATACTAATTGAAAATGTTCCCCAGTCGTAGAGTAGTAGAATCATCTTCAACTTATCACTGTCTTTTGGCCAAATATAGCTACTTCTTCAATCTCAATATCGCTCAGATCTACCCATTCCCTTCAATTCACACTATCAAGTCCTTGAGTCAATTACCTGTTTCTCTATTTGCAGTTACAGCTTTCTTACTTGCACTTTTGACCACCTTTAAAGTGCCTTGACAAAACAGGTCACACAGATCTCAGTGAGCTAGGCAGAGTTTCAGGAGAGGCCAATTGCTACTGCTAAGTTACCTGATAACAGAACTACATTTCCAACTCACAGTCACATAGTCACAAAAAGGGAATCTGATTGGCCCAGTTTAGGTAAAGTTCTAACAAGGGCCCCATCAGCCTTAGCCAAGTAGGTAGAGGTTATAGAGTAGAAACATCCCTATGAGTGACCTTTACTACTAAAGCAGGCAGTTCCCAAAGATCCAGCAGGATATCTACTATTCTATATGATCAATGAAGACTCAGTGAGACAAACAGGATAATAACTTTACAGGGGAAGGGAACCACTTGCAAAAAAAAAAAAGTACCCTGGGGGATGGGAGAATTAGGGAGGTTTTGGTCAAAGAGTACAAACTTGCAGTTAAAAGATAAGTTCTGGGATCTAATGCACAACCTTGTGATTATAGTTAACACTACCGTTTTATATACTTGAAAGTTACTAAAAGACTACGTCTTAAATGTTCTCCTCACAAAAAAGAAACAATTGTGTGAGGTGTTAGCTAGCAATAGGGGTAATCATATTACAATGTATTTGTGTATCAAATCAACACTTTGTACACCTTAAACTTAGTTATATGTCAATTATATCTCCACGTTTTAAAGTACTCTGTATAGTTACAAAATAGCATTTTCTGTTACCTGTACCACATTTTTTCTCTCTACATTAAGCTATCATATATCCAGCATCCAGAAAACAGTCCCCATATATTTAGAATATCCTTTTCTTCACTTTTTGTTGTTATTCATATGAAATTATTTTCTTGAGGACCACTCCATGCCACTGCTCTAGGCTCTGAAACAGTAAAGAACAAAATAAATATGGTCTTTACCCTCAAGGAGCTTCTTAGTTTAGACAAGCAAGCAATTACACAAATAACTATATAAGAACATGGTAAAAATCTATAGAATGCCTAAGTACTTTGATTACAATTTGAAGATTTGAAATAAGCCACTTTCATTTTCACTTACTTTCTGGACTTCTGATATTATATACCAAGCAGTGCTTAATCATCCCCTTTCCCTGTTCCATTAAGAGCAATACACAGACACTGTGAGGCATCAGCAAACAAACAGATTTTCAATTTTCAGTCTTCCACTTAACAGAGCATGATTTTGAATTTTTGAAACTATACCATAAGTTACCTGTGAACAAAACCCATATTTAAACCACTGTCCTCTATTACGGAATTGTCATAGTATTTAAAAGAAAGCTAACTGATTGGGGTACTGATTCAGGGGCAGGGAATCCTTATACCGTAAAGTAGAAAGAATTAGATATTGAGGAATAGTGATCATGCCTAACACAATACTCACAATAGATTCACAAGTAGGTTCTATGAAGGACATTCTAAATCAATATGCTATTATCAGTATATAAAATCCTACAACCAAGGCTGCCCTTCTTTCTGAGATGATTCTTACAATAATTGTTTTTAAAGATCTTATTTATTCATTTGAGATAGAGAGCACACACGAGTTGGGGGGAGGGGGAGAGGAAGAGGGAGAAGCAGACTCCCTGACATGGGGCTCGATCCCAGGACCCTAGGATCAGGACCCAAGCCAAAGGCAGACACTTAGCCAACTGAGCCACCCAGGTGCCCCTCTAAGATGATTCTTAGAGAGGAGCCATGACTGATGTTACTTTGGTGGTGCCTACCCGTCCCACAGCCCCCTCATTCTAAGAAAAATCCATTCTCCTCCCCCTAACAGAGGGATAGGCCTAAGTCTTCCCATATATAGCACATGAACCCTCTGGCTACAGCCAACTGGACTAGGGTTTGGTGAAAACCTGACCCAAGCTGGGCAATCAAGATTCTCTTTCTCTTGAGAAGTTGGGACTTAGAACATAGCAATAAATACTATTGACTGCTTGGAGAACACAGAATCAGGGCTATGTCAGACACTTTCTTGACAGGTACAGATAAAACTCCTCAAAAGAAAGAAAGAAAAAGAAAACAGGGCAGGCAGGAAAAGGGATAATGGGTAATCAACCATGTAGTCCTCTAATCACAAATTCCAACTTTCTAGTTCCAGTCTAGTCCTCCTAAAGCCCCTATATTTCTAGGACTCTATGAGATAACCCTTTGTTTCACCAAGAACTTTGGTTTTCTGTTCAAACTGATTTGCAATGGGTTTCGATTTCTTACAGCCAAATAATGGTTGCAGTAGCCAAAGCGAAGAACTTATACTGTCCTGAAAACTATTAATGTCTATTAGGGGCACAGTGATCCAATGTTCCTCTTGCCTATAGTTTTAAATTATAAGGCATTGTTTCCTGGAGTGTGTTCTGTAGAACAATGATCCTCCAAGCTGCTCTATGGAACAAGGGATTTAGGATCAGGTAAGTTTAGAAAAGTGCTGCATCCCACATCCCCCTTCAGGAGATGGATAATATACATTAGTATATTTAAGGTTCTGAGAAGTTCTGTGTAAAGAGACCTATTAAATCTCCTTAACCCAGCATTATCAAATGTGTACATACTTTTCCATATAGTACACATTAAAATCTCTTGGAACATGTGCTCTGTAAAGAAGAGCAACCCTTTGAAAGTTGCTATTATACTGATTTAGGAGAAGTACTTTTTGCTGCAGTTGAAGTAGCAAATCTGTTGAAGAGCATTCTCTTCCCTTGCTTTTCTAGCTAGTAAATGATAAAGATGACTATTTAATGAGGGAAAAAAGTGAGCACCAACGCTAAGAAAAGCATTGCTCCCACCAGATGTCTCACTATCAAGTTGAAACTTAGAATTAGAATTAAAAGTCTTGGGGCACCTGGGTGGCTCAGATGGTTAAGCGTCTGCCTTCGGCTCAGGTCATGATCCCGGGGTCCTGGGATCGAGCCCCGCAGCTTTGGGCTCCCTGTTCGGCAGGGAGTCTGCTTCTCCCGCTCCCTCTCCCTCTGCTGTTCTCCTTGCTTGTACTCTCTCTCTCTCTGTCAAATAAATAAATAAAATCTAAAAAAAAAAAAAAGAAGAAGAATTAAGAGTCTTGTGCTTCATTTTACTCTGAATGAGAATACAGGTGGGGTAAAAGATCCCCAAAGAGGGAGATGAAATTTGGAGGCTTTCTTGAGTGACTCTGGAAAATTATTGAGGAATCTTCCTCTAGAAACTATCTTTGGGATATCCTGATGGTCTATTGGAGAACCTCTGATTGGGATAGCCACTTTTTTTATTTTACTCTGTGCCTTTATATAAATTAACAGAACTAAAAAGCCTGCTTAACGCTTTGGTTTCCTGGCGAACTGAAGCAATAAATAATAGCTCAGGTTGTTGCTCCTTTAATGTAGAGCTGTATTAGAATGACCTAAGTATCAAGCGAAGAAGCACTACTCACAATCATCTTCAAGATCAAATGATTTTTACTGCTTCTGTTTATATATAATATAGGGGCTTTTTAGGTTGAGAAAATGAAATGGTTATTAAACCACTATTGTGCGCCAGATACTGCGTGAGCCACTTTACATTTGGGACCTATTTTACTAACTCTGTAAGTAGGTCTCTTTTACAGCCAAGAACATCAAGTCCATAAAAGGTTATTTTACTATAGTCTCATTGTTAGTAACTATTAGGCTATATAAAACCAATTCCAACTGACTCCAGAGTTCTTGTACTTTCTATTTGTTTTTTTTAAAGATTTTATTCATTTATTTTGACAGAGAAAGAGACAGCGAGAGAGGGAACACGAGCAGGGGGAACGGGAGAGGGAGAAGCAGGCTTCCCGCTGAGCAGGGAGCCGGATGCGGGGCTCGATCCCAGGACCCTGGGATCATGACCTGAGCCGAAGGCAGACGCTTAACAACTGAGCCACGCAGGCGCCCCGTTCCAGCACATTTTGCGAGTACTCAACACCAGTATCGATGGGCGGCGGAAAATAGCCTTTGCCATCACCGCAATTAAGGGTGTGGGGCGAAGATATGCTCATGTGGTGTGGAGGAAAGCAGACATGGATCTCACCAAAAGGGCCGGAGAGCTCACTGAGGATGAGGTGGAACGTGTGATCACCATTATGCAGAATCCTCGCCAGTGTAAGATCCCAGACTGGTTTTTGAACAGACAAAAGGACGTGAAGGATGGAAAGTGCAGCCAGGTCCTGGCCAATGGTCTGGACAACAAACTTCCTGAAGACGTGGAGAGACTGAAGAAGATTACGGCCCACAGAGGGCTGCGCCACTTCTGGGGACTTCGTGTCCGATGCCCCCACACCAAGACCACAGGGCGCCGTGGCCGCACCGTGGGTGTGCCCAAGATGAAATAAATCTGTAGGCCTTGTCTGTTAATAAAATAGTTTATACACCTAAAAAAAGAAAGAGAGAAAGAAACGTGGGTATATGTGTGTGTGTTGGAGAACATATTCAATATAACAAGCAGCTTTGGTATTCAAGGACAAACGAGAGCCTGGAAACATTAAGGCTTCAGTATTCATGACATGACCAGGATTATCTAAATTGAAGCAATGATTAAGATGTTTTGCCAGGGAACAGTTTATTCAGGGAATCCTGGATGCATTGCTCTGAAATCACTGTGAACTATTAAATGATGCATATAAGTAGGAAGATGAGGCCCCAGAACTGTGTTTCTTCTAATTTCTTCCGTCTTTTAACCTCAGTTCTCATTACAGCTTGAAGAAAAGCATTTTCTAATGATGCTTATAAAGTAAACAAAGGACACTGCCTGACAGACTACCACGATGACTATTGTAAAACAAATGAACTTAGCTGTCTATCAAATTGGTGATTGACCCACACAAAAGAACTATTTTTAAGTTTTTTTTAGAACACAAGACTTTGACTAAATCTATTCCTAGGAATATGAATCCTAAGGACAAAAAGAAAGGCAAATTATAAATTTCATTTAATAGCCTAAGGATTAGTAAAAAAAAAAAATTGGTTTCATTTTTGAAACTCTTTCATGGATATTATAGAGCAGATAATTATGTTAATGTGTTAGGATCCAAAACTTTACATGTAAGAGATGAAACATAGAAAAACAAAAAAGTAGAAGTCCTATAATTTTTTATTTCCTGAAAGAGCCTAGAAGCAATGACAAACCCAGTAGCAATGAACAGGCCTAACACCCAGATTATATCATATTTAGGTTAGCTGATCCCAGGTCTGAAACAGAAAATGTATAAAATGAACCTGCGGTGTCTTCTACTTGAAAGCAGGGAAGTTGGGGCGCCTGGGTGGCTCAGTTGTTAGGCATCTGCCTTCGGCTCAGGTCATGATCCCAGGGTCCTGGGATCGAGTCCCACATCGGGCTCCCTGCTCAGCAGGAAGCCTGCTTCTCCCTCTCCCACTCCCCCTGCTTGTGTTCCCTCTCTCTCGCTATCTCTCTCTCTATCAAATAAATAAATAAAATCTTTTAAAAAGAAAGAAAGCAAGGAAGTTATCAAAGAATGTTGGGGTCGTATCAAAATGACACAAAAGTCAGCTTCCTCTGGGGCTTCCTCTGGCCAAATTCAGACCAATTTAAACATCCGAAAAAAAAAATGACTGCAACTGACTGAAACACACTGAATGTATAACATCCATGAGTTCGTAATGACAGGAAAGAGAGAAAGAAAACTAATTAATTAGTTAATTAAATACACAAGTCACTGGTCACCATTAGAACTTGGGCACTGTATTATTTTGCTCAGGCGGTCATTGGGTGACTTAAATAACAGAAATTTATTTCGTCACAATTCTGGAAGCCAGAAATCCAAGATCAATGTGTTGGCAAGGTTGATTTCTGCTGAGGCCTCTCTCCTGGGCTTGTGGTTGACCACCTCCTCCCAGGGGCTTCACATGTATGAATGTGTATGTGTATATCTGTATCTAAATTTATTTTTATAAGTGCACTGGTCATATTGGATTAGGGCCTCCCCTATTGAGCTCATTTTAACTTAAGTACTTCTTTAAAGGCCCTATTTCCAAAAACAGATACTGAGAGTTAAGACTTCAACATATGACTTGGCTGGGGGCGGGGGGTGGGCAGCGGGGGGAACACGACACATTTTAGTAACAACAGGCACATGTCCTTGCTTTGAAAATTAGAAATTGGGGCTCCTGGGTGGCTCAGTCGTTAAGCATCTGCCTTCGGCTCAGGTCATGATCCCAGAGTCCTGGGATCGAGCCCCACATCAGGCTCCCTGCTCAGCGAGGAGCCTGCTTCTCCTTCTCCCACTCCCCCTGCTTGTGTTCCCTCTCTCGCTGTGTCTCTCTCTGTCAAATAAATAAAATCTTTAAAAAAAAAAAAGAAAATTAGAAATTCACGGAAAAGAAAAAATTTATCTTGCCTGTCCTCTACAAACTGTATTTTAGAATCACTAAATAGTCCTAACTGAAGAGAAAAATCAAGTTAGTAAATGTAAAAGGGATGACAGAATTTGAAAACCACTATTTTGTGGTTTAGGCAGTGCTCATCAATGGATGATAAAACTATTTAGGAGAAAGTTGATAGTTCACTTTACAATGTAACCATTAAGCGGTTACCACCGGTCAGTTTAGCATCACTAAAAGCTGGACAACCAGACATTATAAACCTCCTGAAGGGATGCAATATAACTTATATTGCATTGCCTATGAGATATTCTTGCTGAAGAAGTTAAAAGTGAAACGTAATTGAACCTAACTGGAGGGTTTCCTGGAGTGGGGAACACCTATGCGAACTTGTAGAGACTGAGCGAGGTTAAATGAGATGGAGAGCTAGCAAGTCTCAGAGAAACACTAGACATTAATTCACTTAGTGACTAGTAAAGAGTACCTGGGGCAGAGTAAGGGGGCTCACGGCAGGGGCCAAGGACAAGATCCACAAGGGACCTACCTGCCTCCTAGACTTCTCACCACTGTCTCCATCAATATTTCTGTTCACAATCAAAGTGTAGTAAAGTCCCTATCAACCAGGAAAAATAACCCCAAGAAAAGCCAGATTATGAAATTGTGAAAGTCTAGAACAAGCAAATAAAAGGAACGATTTGGCCTAAAGCCATTGCTCACATTTATATAAAACTATACTGCTAAAGAAAGTGGAAGAGACTCCTTTGTATAGAATTGTTAGCTAAATATAACTACCCAATCATTTGTGAATAAATTGAAATGAGCTATCTTGGGAAAGTATAGAAATGTCACTATTCTCTAACCACAGATTCTGTCTTAGATATGGGGCTTTCAAGCAGATATTTCATGCTGTTTGGGGATTTTTTTTTTTTTTAATGTTAGTGTTCTAATCCACACTATTTTTCTTAAGTCAAAATCTCAGGAATGTTGTACCTATCAAACATAACCGTCTTTCATTGCACTTTATATTTATGCCACAAATATCAACTTTAAGGAAAGTATGATGCAATGAATAGATCTTTGTCAGGTTGTTTGACAGCATTAAGCCAACCAAAGAACTCCTTAAGTAACAAGAAAAAATATTTTTCCATAGAAATATAATAGAAATCTATTATCACATAAGCCACAAATATATCTTGTTATATGAATAATAACTAAAAGAAGAAAGTCGTTTATTGAGACTATGATAAAGCAAGGCTTTGGCTATCTGTACATTAGCACTGTATGTAAAAATAAGACCTCTCTGGTACTTACTAATATAAAGATTTCTAGAATAATATTTTTTAATTGCAAATCATGTTTTTCTCTGTTAAACTTGAAGTTTTCCTATTAATCATAAAATATTTCCCCAAGATACGCACATTCTTTTTTTCTTTTTAAGAGACAGAGGGAGGGGTGCCTGGGTGGCTCAGTTGGTTAAGCGTCTGCCTTCGGCTCAGGTCATGATCCCGGGGTCCCGGGATCGAGCCCCGCATCGGGCTCCCTGCTCCGCAGGAAGCCTGCTTCTCCCTCTCCCACTCCCCCTGCTTGTATTCCCCCTCTCGCTGTCTCTCTCTCTGTCAAATAAATAAAATCTTTTAAAAAAATAAATAAGAGAGGGAGGGAGGGGGATGGAGAGGGAGAGAGACTCTCAAGCAGACTCCACACCCGCCAAGCATAGAGCCCAACGCAGGGCTCTATCTCACGACCCTGAGATCATGACCTGAGCCGAAATCAAGAGTTAGATGCTTAACCGACTGAGCCACCCAGGTGCTCCCTGGGTAGTTTTTCTGCTTCAAGTGGCATCTGGTAGGCACTAGGATTGCTAGTAGATCCCAAATAGCCTCTCCCGTTTGGCTGGCATTCGGTGCCACCCAGCTGGGGTTGTTGGTGAGGGCACCTCAGTCCTCTCCATGTAGCTCTGGGTGTCTCACAGCATGGTGGCTGGGTTCAAAGAGGGAACGTTTCAGGAACAACTGGAAGAAGAAGCTACCAGTTCTCTTAGAGAGTCTATGTCCACAAGACCAAGGATGTCACTTTGTCCACATTACTGGTCAGAGCCAGTCTGGCTCCAAGGAAGGGGCCATAAGCCCATCTCTTGATGTGAAGAGTGGCGAGCATATACAGTATGAAGTATATGGGGAGACAGTCTTTGGAGACTAGCTACTACGGACCACGCTCTGGCCGTAACAATTCACATCCCTCTCCTGTGCAAAATATATTCAGCCCTTCTCAAAACCCCTAAAAGTCTCATACTATTATGGCATCAGGTCAAAGTCCAGGATCTAATCAGCTATGGAAGGTCCGGGAGCCCTTGAGGCATTACAGGTGTTGGTCTCGCAGGGGCAGCACCTCGGTCGTAAAGACCTTTGAACAAGAAAGACAAATATCTGCCCCACATGCATCCAATAATACAATGGCATAATGAGGACAGGATAAGCACGATACCTCCATTCAGAAGGGGGTGGGGGGTGAGAGGCATAAAGCAGTGACCAGATCACAGCACTTCTGAAATTCAGCCAAACGCATATTGTCATTTCCTGCAACTCAGAGATCAGAAATGTTTCTTGATTAAGACCTAGTTCTGCTCGCTACAAGTAGTTCTTTTAGATTCTCTAGGCCCTTGGCTCTGCCCCAGGGGTCATTCTTTCTTTTCTGTGACAAATGGCCCATGTTTACAGGTGAGTAGCTTTCTCTGCTTGCTTCTTGCCCAGAGGATGTTGGAGACTCAGAGGCCTCTTTCATTATTAATCAATCCCTCTGTCCCTTCAGTCCATGCTTGTATAACTTGGTTTTTAAAAATAACTTTGTGGGCTGAGGCCCCTGGGTGGCTTGGTCAGTTGGGTGATCGACTCTCAATTTTGGCTGAGGTCATGATCTCAGGGTCCTGGAATTGAGCCCCAGGTTGGGGTCCATGCTCAGCAAGGAGTCTGCTTGAGGATTCTCTCCCTCCCTCTGCCCTTTCCTCCCTCCCCCACCCCACCCCCACCCCTAAGTAAATAATTCT